GTGAGATACATTACTAATAAGTGTGTTCAATTAACAGGTAGAATAAGATCATCTGCGGAAAGAACTTTACTTATCGGTGAGGATCCTTTAGAAGTTAACATTGATCAGACAATTGAATATGAAGAATGTATTGGTGATGCAAGACAACAAGCAAACCTAATTAAAGCCATGAGAGTTAGTGTTACAAGAAATTATGTAATTTATGACAGAAATGAACAAATATTAAGATATGCAATGACCAGCAAAGTGGCTCCAAGTACAGGTAAGCAGTAATAACTGAAACATTTTATGCAAATTCCTCAAGTTGGCCCCATTTGACATTGAATTGAAATATGAGGTAATATCACCCACTGTTTAAATTAGTTAACAAATAGTTAGTAAAGCCTAATGACTTTTTCTAAAACCTGTGCTCACAACCATTTCCTTTTTTTCAGAAACTAGACATTGAGTATATTAATAAACTGACTCTGGACAAAACATTGACGTAGTCCGAAAACGGGGACTTATGGTTTGCCCTGTGTGCGTCCGTGTGTCCGTGATCACCTGTATCTCGAACATGCATGGACCGATTAAGTTCAAACTTCACTCATACATCACACATTATATGGGACATAAGCACATGCATTTTTTTCATGATCTGATTAACGATAGCCGAATAGAGCATCAAAATCGCACATTTTCACCATTCCGGACCCGGATCTCAGTTATGCATGGACGGATTTTGTTCAAATTTGGTACATACATTAAGCATAATAGGACCTTGATGCATGTAATTTTTTTTTTTGGGATCGGGTTTGAAATGGCTGACCGGCGGCCATTTTGTTTTAAAGAATTCAGTTCAGGGTCCGTATCTGAGACATGCCTGGATTGATCGAGTTCAAACTTCACACACACATGGTAAATCATGTCACAAATATGTATGTGCATTTGTTTCATGATCTCATTAACGATAGCCAAATGGCGGCCGCTTTAAGGCCGAAAATGCATTGAAATCACACATTTTCACCATTCCGTCCCCGGATCTCAATTATGCATGGACGGATTTTGTTCAAATTTGGTACATACATTAAACATAATAGGACCTTCATGCATGTCATTTTTTTTCCGGATCAAGTTCGAAATGGCCGACTGGCGGCCATTTTGTTTTAAAGAATTCAGTTCTGGATCCGTATCCGAGACATGTCTGGTTTGATCAAGTTCAAACTTCACACACACATAGTACATCATGTCACAAATAGATATGTGCATTTGTTTCATGATCCGCTTAACAATAGCTGAATGATGGCCATTTTAAGGCCGAAAATGCATCAAAATCACGTATTTTCACAATTCCGGAACCGGATCTTAGTCATGCATGGATGGATTTTGTTCAGATTTAGTACAATGTGTTGTACATATGCAGGTGCATTTCGGATCAGACCACTGAAAGCGGTCTGAGATTTCGGTCATGATCTGCTTTGAATGTATATGTCACTCAAATATGAACGGAACGGGGACGTGTCATTGACAATGACTTGTTTAATATTTTGTTCTCAATCAACTATTTGAGCAAAGAAAGTTTTAAGGTAGCGAGAAGGGAAATTTTCATTTTTTCATCGTAAATCGTAAATAAGTTTTGGAACGACGCTGCTCAAATTAGTGTTTTAAACGTTAACACAACTGTTGTTTCATGAATATTTGCATATTCTTTGGGACAGTTTAAATAATATCATCTTATCTGTATACTCAGTTGTTGATGATTCTGATGTAACGGATGATAAGCGTTCTGTTGTATTTATCTAACGTTCATTGTCATCATTACTGTCAGTCAAGACTTCTTTGGACTAACTTTGCGCAACCTTCTTTTAATGCAATGACGAGGACAAGAAAGAAAGCAAAGACTACAATAAGAGATAAGATAACGAAAAATCTGTAACTCCGTGATGCAAGGTCATATTATGACCAACCTTCAAAAATGACATTGAGGTTGAAATCTGTTGCTCATCGATATCAGCCAAATAACCAAAGCTATCGTTTTCGTTTACACAGAGAGCGTGTCCTCATCTAATTTCACATTGCTGTTTGTTATTTCTATCCTCAACAGTGGTTTCAATCCATTCACACAGCTTTACTTTTGTTAGCTCCGCTGTCGACTATGTCGAGCGGAGCTTATCATATGAGTGATTGTCTGTTGTCGTCGTCCGTGTCAATGTTTTACTTTTTTGACTTTTTCTTGAAAACTACAAGCCTGAATGCTTTGATACTTGGTGTATATGTACCTTGGGTAGACCTCTCTCAGATTTGTTCATTTCATGATGATATCTTCAATTCTCTAATTTTGGTGAATATTTTTGTTAAAAAGTGATATTTTCGACTTCTTGTTAAAAACCGTAAGTCCAATTGCTTTGATATTACATATATAGGTACTACATGTGGACCTCTCTCAGATTTGTTCATTTTGTAATGATATCTTTAATTCTCTAATTTTGGTGAATATTTTTGGTAAAAAGTGATATTTTCGACTTCTTGTTGACTTCTCTACTACTGGATCTGAAACCCGTAAGGCAAAAATTAACTGGCCCAAAGCAAGCACTTATAATCTTAACCAGTATCGGCAACGGACGGAAATATGCCTTAAAAACATTGATTTTTTGTATGGATGCAATTATGTGCGTATCTGATGACTGCTGTCGCAGTGACCACCATGACATGATTACTCGATATTATGGACAAATTATTGATTCCTTAGGAAGTGCTGGTGATGAAACATTTATTAGAAAATAAACCAGACGTTTTGTGGCTGTACCTGGTTGGAATGAAGTAGTTAAAGAGGCACATGACACAGCTCGCAATTATTTTCATTCTTGGTGTGATTCCGGTAAAGCTAGATATAGTTTTGTGTACCAGATGATGCGCAAATCGAGGTCACAATTCAAACTTGCGTTACCCTACTGCAGGAATAATAAGATCCAATTCGAGTCTGATAATCTGGCCAAGTCGTTGATGAACAAAGATCGGCGGATATTTTGGAAAAAGGCGACAATGGCATATAATGCGCCACTTCCATGTACTATTGACGGTTGCTCCGGTG